AAATCGGCCTACAATCCACTGACCTGTGCCATAATAAGTTGGCCTACCACAAACCATAAAATGACTATAAATATTGCATTACTGACCCATTTCGTAAATCTTTAATAATTGCACTATGTTGTGGATTATTTAAAGCATCTAAATGTTCCTGACGTCTTTGAACTAGCCTCCACTGGTCCTCAGATTCCACCATTCTGTCTTCAGAACGTCTATAAAAGATATAAATCCAGATTACTTGGCCATTTGGTGTTGCATAATGTAAAATTAACTGACCTCATCAGCTCCCACAAATACAGAATTGTGATATGCATTTATTTCAATCTTTAAATTCAATTTTTACATTTAGACAGGCTTGTTACTGTAAATGACAAGTAAATGAAAATGGCTAAATATTATAAGAATTGGTCACGAATTCCACTCAACAATAGATCAAAGCAGGCACACACCAATAAGCAGGACGTATGAAGCAAATGTGGACCACAAAGGCCAATGGACAGAGAGAAAAAGACTGAGAGGGGTAAAATGGCATCTACTTACCTCCGTCGTCGTCTTCTGCCTTTGTGGCTACTTCTACTTTGATCTGAATCACTACCGCTACTGGCTGCACTACGTGAACCTGATCTAAGTAGTGTAAACATAATAGTTATGATTAATATATAACATAGCAAAAGTATCACAACCTTGCCCATTGAAGATCTAGAATAAGTATCAATAATGGATGCACAATCTTTTTCTTGCATGACAAAAGCGAGTAAAAAGTACGGAAATAATACCATAAAATATATTTAAACATTTTTTGTGTAACATACTGGCTACAATTTAGGTGGGAACAATTCTAGCCCAAAATGAACAAAAGTAATAAAAAAAAGTAATCTTATTTACAAAAAAAATAACATTCAAGTTTCTCAAATAATACTATATTTACTGTATTAATCTTGATGTCCCTCATAGAATAACACAAATTATATAACTACAAGAAGAAGACAATTTTAAGTGAAATTCAACCAATAACCTAAAAAAAAATATACATAGAAACGAACCTAAATTGAACTTGGCTGAAATCCTAGACTTGCTAATAAACAAATGTGAAAGAAATTGGATAAAACCTGTTTGAGTTATTGTAACTACAAAAAACATTTCTACAACAGAGCACCAATGACTGACATCATACTAAATGCTGAACATTTGCACAGCATAAATTTTTTTTGATAGAATTTTTGTCTGTTATGTCTCATTAAAACTTGTTACTATGAGAGAAGAAAATATGTATAATAATAAGGCCATCACAAGAATACCGCAAAGTATGAACTCAGGCAGTACGGAATTGCATTGACTGGGGTTGCAATCTCTGTACTGCCTGTGTGTACTTGCAAGTATTCATGTGATATTTTTATAGTATCTGACATATACCAGTCAACAGGACACAGCTCACAGAACTACATAAAGTCATTGATTAATGCTTGCAATATGAACTACAACTGTATAATAAGCGCTAACTGATATGATTGCACATATAGCATACATACCTTCTTCGTCTTCTACGCACATGGTGGTCTGATTCAGTATCCGATACTGAATGACATTTGCGACAATGTCTATTGAACAAAGAGAAACATACATGCATTAAATTCTAATATTATATTTAACTACCTGCAAATTAAATTTCCAAAAGTAGTCTGAATGGTGCTTTGAAGTATAATATATATAAATATATTTAATTAAATTTGAATACAATTCAATTGTGAATACTATAAAGAGTCAAACAATAAAAAGGAAATGCCACAATTAGACTTCATTTCAGTGTGGAATAAGACATTCATACCAGCCTGCCATAGCCCTAATGATTTTTAATACAATTTTAAGTTAGAGTCATGTTTTATGATCAATCCTATAACTCTGTTATAACTGTTTACTTATAATTTTGAACCAATAGATATAAATTACAGGTTTGTTTTGGACAAGGGTATAAAATTGTTTTTAAATTTGTTTATCATTTAATAAGTGCAACTGCATTTAGACTGG